AAGGAATGTAGTTTTGTCATGGTTAATATTACATATCTTACAGAATGTGAATGCATCCATGTGCAAAAGAGTGAAAAGCCCCAAACCAACACCAAGTACCTTAATTTTCTTAAGTAACTCGTAGCCTGTCATCCCTGGCATGCAATAGTCTGTGATAACCAAATTCACTTTGGATCTCTAGAAAACAGTAAATAGTCTAACGTGTTAGCATGTAGCAGCTTAGTAAAATGTATGCAGAACTACAGAACATTTGTTTAATCTGAAAAGAGAAGACTTACCCCATTCAAGGTCTTCTGTGCACCACTTGTCAAGCCCAAGAACTCCAATGCCCTTGGCCCATTTTCTGCAGTTGTAACTGTAGCCAATAATAGCATTAGCAACCAACCATAACTCACTAGTGAACCCCAACTCAAACCAAAAAGCCCATTCAAAGCTCTTTTCCAAACAGAAACTCCAAAATGAAAGCATCAAACAAAAAGAGCAATTACTAAACATTTTTTTTTTCAACGAGAGAAACGTGTAAAACTAGTCAGTTTGAAAAGAAAAAAAAGGGAGAAGAACAGAAAATGCTTGCTAGGTGTACCTTTGCAAGAAGAATTCATAAGCAGTTTCTCAACAAGTTTGCGATCAATAAGATTGTCATCAACAGCCAAAACATGAGGAACATTACCACTTTCCATGACCCAATTTGAAGAAGAATCTGCAGACCCAGAAGCCATGCTTTCCTGGCTGACCTTAATTAAACACTAGAATAAATAACACTGTCTCCTCGTTTTCCTCTCTCTTATGTTTTCCCCACCACTAGTTATGACGAAGAAGCTATAGTATGTCACACAAGGTGAAAAAAACGCAGTTGCAATAAAGGAGGCTGCAATGACATTAATTGTAAGTAGAAGAGGACGAAAAGAAAAACAAAACGTCTTTTTTGTGACAAGACCTTTATAAATGAAGAGAGAAAGAACAACAACATAAAAGAAACAAACTTGAAAGTCACAAGAGATGTATGAACGTAACGATGTCATATATATATACAGAGTAAATGGATATGAATTTGAAGATGGTTGGTGGGCGAGGAATTTTAGAAAAACCAGAGACAGATGAAGAGAGAGAGAGAGAGAGAGAAACAGACTTTATATCAGAGAGATAAATATCAAGTCACAGATATTTCGTGATCCTTTTCGGGTATCTATGGATTTGATTCAGTCCCCACCTCTTATATTCAAAACCAAATCCTTCACTCTCATCATCAATTCATATATATATATATATATATCTCTCTCTCTCTCATTTCATTTATAGTTTCTTTCTTTTCTGTCTCTCTTGGCGAGATTTCAGCATCACTGTCTGCACACTCCTCTCAGCATTCATGCATGTTTGTGAGATCCTCACTTGGTCTCTTCCCCTAAGCTATATGCTTAAAAGTTTAAAAAAAACATGTACCGTCCTTGCATTTACATTTTTGTTTTTACAATGTGATACCTAGCTCAGGGTAACCTCAAGCAAAAAAATTAACTCATAAGATAGGAGAGTTTGAAATTTATATATAGAATTTTATTTTCTGATATTGGATTTCTCGTACCTTGTAAATGGATCATAACATACTGACTCTTTTTTTTTTAAAAAAAAAATTTAAGTAAAAAGGATTTTATAACTGTTGATTAATTATGATTTGATAATTATATACTATAATTACATAATTATAAAGTTGTTCTTTGACCTATCAAATAGTTGGATGATAAGTATATATTGTTGGATGATAAGTATATATTATTAACTTTGAACAATGTTTTAAAAAAAATACGAATCTTATTGTGATTTTATATGTTTGAATTGTCAATTGGAAATGAAGCAGCCAATAATAATTGGCAACTCTTTTTATAAGGTATATGGCTGCCAACAATTTCACCTTAAAATAAAGTGTTATACTTCTCTTATAATTTTATTAACCGAAACATGATTTCTGCATTAGTATTTTGTGAATACAATAGTCATTGGACACAGAGGTTCTTTTTAAATCAAAATTTACGCTCTCTTTTTTTAAGATAAGGCAGAATCAAATCCATTAGAGAAGCAAAATTGGAATCTGGGAGGAAAGTAGCTGAAATGAAATAAGATGAGGCTGTGAGGACCGAGGAGCACATACAAATCCTATCACAGTAGGTACATGTAAAAGATAAATGACATCTATTTTTTTTTTTAATAAACATCTACTTTTTATAATTTTTAAAATAAATAATTACACTGAACTGCATTTAAAATAAATAATTTTTAAAATTCAATTTATGAATTGAATTAATTTTAGAAATTGGTTCATTAACTGAACTAGTTTTAGAAATAAGTTCATGTATCGAATTATTTTTTTTTCACTTTGTTTTTTTATTTTTCTTATGTATTTATTTATTTATTTAGTGACTGTTTTTAATTATATTTTATTATTATATTTTTTTAAAATAAATTTAATTCAAACCGATTCCGAATCAGTTTCAAATTAAATCGAACCAACCTGTTTAATTTAATTCAGTTCAATTTTAAAAAAAAAATCAATTTAATTCGAGTCATACATATCCTTACTTTTATGTTAGGCACAAATGACTTGTGCTACTTTGATATGAATTCATGATCGCGCTCTTCCGTACCATAAGTGATTTGATGTTTCATATTTTCCTATAGGATCTGAACATAAAAGATCGTATCTCCAGTTGCTTGCACCAACTGGATAGAATCTATAGATATCAAGAGTTTGATTTTACGACGGAATTCGGGGACAATAACCCCCGAAAAAAAAAACATGTTTTTCTATGTAAATTATTTAAATATTATATTTAATTTTAAAAAATTCACAAAATCTCTTAAGAGGAAAGAAGTTTTGGTGTTGTAGGACCCTCTTTGAAAATGTGAATTTTTTTTTCTACTTTACTTCTTTCTTTTACTTATATTTTTATTGGTGTGTCAAATTTTGCAAAAAAGAACGGAACAGTGACCATTGTGCCACTGTTCCCACTGTTATTTACCTAAATGTCACGCACCTGAACTTTTTTTCCAAACTGTCACACGGGCTAGTTCGCTGGGAGTAGTAGCGAACTAGGCATGATGATGTGTCAGTAAGCTGGTGGTTCTCAAGTTCGCTTGTGTCAATAGCGAACTTGGGTGAAATAAAGCCTGCAACGTATTTTGAGTTCGCTGCCTACGCAAGCGACCTAGATGGCACGTGTCTGACCCCAGCCAAGTTCGCTGGGGGCCAAGGCGACCTAGGTGCCATGTGGCAGTTCCCTAGAAGTCCGCTGCCTTGGTCAGCGAACTACTTGCCGACAGTTACAGGTCGCTGGGCCATAAAGCGAACTCAGTGTTATATTTAGACCCCCTTCCTCGATCATTCATTCATTCTCGTTCGTTTTCAAAGGAAATTTTTCCATTTCTGTGTGTGAATTCTATTTCAGTACATAATGAGTGAGAATAACAATGATGTAATATGCCTTCTATATTACAATGGGAGAAGATATTTTGGACCGAACGGTCAAGTGTTTGAAGAAGATACGAAGATCTTCCGCATGAGTCCGCGTTGCAAATATAATGAGCTCAAGAAAATAATATACAAGAAGTTGAGATTACAACGAGGTCAATCCTTGTCTCGACTGATTGTTAGATGTGCTTCTGGTAACCCCGTGCAATGAGTTGCTGTGGAGGTGGTTGAGGATGAAGATGTTGTAGGCAACCGTTCAGATGATGAACGTCTGCCTCTTTGGTTTGTTTCTGATGATCTATTCACCTTAGAGGCACAAGAGGAGAAAACTATGAATATATACGCTTAGGTCTTAGACATAACTCAACCCTAAGCCTCATGGGCTCAAGTTTCATTGAAGCCCAATAGGACTTTAGTGACCAAAAGAGCATATATCCAACATTCTCCAATATTTTTTACCTTTATAATTTAAACTTTTATGAAAATGAATTATAAAATATACATGCTAGATTCATACCATAATCCTAGAACCCTAGGTGCCACATTTCAAGAAGCAAAACTAATTACATGAATAGTGAAACTAGATTCACATACCAATGTACAGCCAAGGCTCTGATACCAATTGTAGGAAATCTTAGATTTATGCGGAAGCGGTTTAGGACCTAGTACATTGGTATGCTTACCGAATCATCCTTGTTTCACAATTACCTCTCGGTGCGCAGGTCTCGTGTAGAATCTTCCCTTGTAGGATTCCTCTTCACAAACAGCTCACCTCAGCGCCGCAGCACGAACAACCTCCTTGAAGCTGGACTGTGGCAGATCTTCCAAACTATCTCTCGAGGAGGAAGGGGAAGTGTGTGGGCACTGATTAGATTCTGAGCTTGCCTCTTTCTCACAAAAAAGACCTTTTTAGGCTGATGACTTAAGAGGTACTATTTATATGGGTTCCAAGAAACCCTAGCTCATTGGGCTCTAGGTTCCTTGGGCTCTTCTCATACTAATAACTCATTTGGGCTTTAGTAAAAGAGCAAACCCAACAGATATGTCACTAGTAGTTGATGCATTTCGACAGCATGGAGAGTCCTCATACATCGAGTTATATGCGGAACTAAACAACGGTGGAGAGGCAAGCACTCAATGTTTCATCCCTACCAGTCACTCCATAGACATTAACAAAGAGCCCGAAGTAGATGCGGAAGATATGAATGTGTCACCCCCACCATCATCTCCCCCAATAACACAACCTTTAGATGTGATTCATGCCAATGAAGTAGATGATCCATCGGGGCGTACTGATAGTTCCGAGGAGGAGGTTGATGAAGGTCTAGTCCCTGACAGTGACTCGTTGGATACAGACGTTGATGGTGATTTCGAGTTGGAAACGTCCACTGCTTTGGTTGAACCGATTCCATCACCGGGTATTATTGGTGCGCATGACCCACCACCTGCTGCAGGTTAGGTAGTTTACCATTTGAGTTTTAAGATAGTTTACTGTTTCAGTTTAATTATATTTTTATGTACTTAACGACATTTTGCCGTTTATTTTTTTCTTAAATAAAAACGGGTTCTTAGTTGTTGAATCATCCAGCAAAATAAACGACAACAGCGCTAGTGCCAATGGTTGCCGTTGCGGATGAGGTAAACGACACCACGTTTCCCCTTAACACGGTAACCACAACAGGGAAGAGGAACATTTGTCCCGGTCCCAGCACACTTCTTCGTAGCTGTCGTCGGTGACACCTGACTAATCACCGCCGGCGGTACCGCCGTACAAGTAGGGTAACTAAACGACAACGTGGAGGAGGAAGACGACGATGAAGAGGAAGAAGATGATGACGACGACAAAGATTTTGACCGAGCAGGTGAAGAGAAGAGGAACGCTCTGATCTTTAAAGACGAAACATTGTCGTATTCCTCGATGAGGTTTGCGAGATCCTCGTCGGAGGTGATGGACACCAAAGCGTCGAGGTCTTCGGAGGGTAATTGGCAACGAAAGTGGGTCACGTGTGAGCCGCATAGCTCTTCCAACTTCACCAGTACCTCTGAAACAAACATAAACAGAATACGGTTAAAATAACGGCACAGTAGTTGGAGTGGTGAAAATGTAACTGAAAAAAAAAAAAAAAAAAGCAATGATGTAACCGGAAAAGGGAGTGGAGCGAGGGAGGGCGAGGACACGGGTGTGGCCGCCGAGGTAGCGGAGCTTGCCGTCGGGGTGGCGGGGGAGGATTTTGCCGCCGTAACTGCAGAGGAATTTGAGGGTGGATTTGTCCTCACGAAAGACCATGGTGTGTTGTTAGTTAGGTGTGGATACTGTATTTGAATCTGTTAAAAACGAAAAAAGAAAAAAGAGAGAAGAAGAGAGCTTTGAAGTTTGTAGCTGCTTTGGCGTAGCCACTTCAAGCCTATGTATTGAACCATTTCTCCCTTATTTATAGGGATTAGGAATAGCTAGAAAGTTGCTTCACCTGCATTAATGCTTACGTCATATAATATAACTAATTTTTTTTTTTTGGTATAACATGGAGGTATCCTCGTTCAACCTCCTCTGGTCACATTGTTCTCAGAGTACGGTCTGAAGGCTAGCTCCTCATTAGAATAGCGGGTGCATTGAGGTTCGCTACCGGAGGAAGGATGAGACTAATCCCCCTTCGAGGACTGAGGCACGTCCTCTACCCCAAAGATTTTTCAAGAATTTGCTTGAGACATGGTTTGAACTCCTGACCCAATTTTTAAAAATTATGGATCCCGTAACTTTGTTTCACACATATAAGGTACTTATATTATGTGACATAAGATTAATAACTCCTTTATATTATTTACCCCACTAACATTTTTATTTTTTATTTTTTGTTGGTGGTGATCTGTTTAAAAAATTAATTTTTAAAAATATATGTAATATATTATAAAATTTTATTTCTTAATTCATATAATTTTTTTATTCAGTTTATTTTGTAATAATTTTAGAAAATTAGTACCATGTTTTTTTTCCTGAAAAAGTATAAAAAGGAATCCCTTTCTTTTACTTATTTATTTTTACGTGACATAGAATAAGATTTTTTTCAAAAAAAAAATAACAAGGTGTATACTTTTTTTAATTAATTTGAAGTAATTATACTTATAATTTATTAAATTTTAGGAAAAACTTCACAAACCCCTATTGAATTTGCTTCTAAATCATTTACTAAAGTATTTTTTTTATCGTCTATCCCATTGTGTTTTGATTCAAAATCAATCCCCTCTCTACTTGTTTTCCATCCAAATTTAACTAGTGGTGTTAATATGCCTTTTTTCTTTTAAACACATTGTGTTTTTTCCTCCCAATTCTCTTCACAATCTAGGGTTAACAATTCAGCCCCTCTTATTTTCTTTTTGATATGCTGGAGCTAACACACCTCAATCTTCTTGTGCTTTCAATCTTCTTGTGCCTCCAATCTTTTACAGGTTCTTCCCCAATGCTGATACATTATTTTGTTTCTATTTTAGTAAGTATTAATTTTATTTCTCAACTTTCACGTTTTTTCCCTTATCTTGCTTCTTCTTCATTAGACTAGCGTATATAGCTACCTCTCCTTTGTTTTTGTTTTTAGCGTGTTTTGGAATTGGAACATATGAAATACAGAGGCTGCAACACAAGGGTTGCGGATTGAATATTTCAATGTCATGTATAAATATTTAAGGTTATGTCAGAAAAAAATATTTAAGTTATGTGATTTTTTTTTTTTTTTTTTTGACTTTGTGAAATCTTGCAGCTTAAGGCAATGGATAATGAAGGTAAATCTACTTGAAAGATTGAAGTTGCCTTTAGTATAGGTGTTTTTGTACATGGTTATATATGGCAAAGCGGGTGATTCTTCCCGCCTTGCTTTATCTCCAATTCAATAAAAAAAAAAAAGATAACGTCGTGTTCAATAGGTTAAAAATCTCATGTTATCAAAAAAAAAAAAAAAATCTCAACCCATTTCCCCCATCAACGGCCATCTATAAATTTAAAATATGAAGAAAAAAAATTACTGATTAGAGAAAAAAAATGTATCAAGTATAGTCTGTATAGATCAAATTAAACGGGTGTAAAAGAGTTCATAACTAGCATTAAAGAAAAAAATCCCAACTAGTCAACCTGTCCCGTATTATGCGAGATAGCTTATTTTTATACAACTATGTGGCATTTTTTTTTCTTTTATTTTTTTAGTTGATTAAACAGGTTCAAAGACAACGAAATTATAAAACAAATTAATCCGTTTCCAATTGGTTTCATTTCACATCGCATGTTAACTAGCGAATCCAGAATTGACTCGCATTAATTTTTTTTTTTACAGTTTATTCCTATCCTATTGTGTTGTGATAATTCACCTAATAAGTAACTCAATTTGATATTGATAAGTTATTCGTGTTATGTCAACCAGTATAATAAGTGATACACTATAAATTTATGGGTTATTAATATGGTGTCGAATCGTGTTGACCCGCAAAATAACTATGTTGTGTTCGTATTAAAGGTTTTAACCCAATTTCAAATTTGTGTCGTGTTCTTGAATGTATTTATATTCATGTCGTATCGTGTCGTCCTGAATTATCAATCATATTAAGAGGCTAGAATCACATAGCCAACAAGAAAGAGAATTAAATTTCCAAGAATTAAAATTCTAACAAATGGTGGTGGTTAATTAAATTTAACCACTATTGCTAGAATTTTGCAATTCACTAATGAAGAGAAAAAAAAACTACCAATGAATGTAAAAAGCTCATCGGCAAAAAATTACACAGGAATTAAGGACGGTTAAAAACTTTTAGTTCTTGCATGCATCAATAAGTATTGCCGACAAATATTATATTGAGTTAACGAGTTACCAATAGAATAAACCATCGATAAAACTTGATATTCATATTTATTTATTTATTTGGATAGAATGATATTCATATTTTTTAACTTTTTTTATGCATTATAATAAAATTCTTTATATAATAAGAATTTTTGTCAAATTATATTCCGTTAAATTTCTACTTTTAAGATAAAAGAAACTTAAAATAAATTCAATATTTGTAATATTCTTCTACGGATATTTCCTTGCCGAAAAATTAAACAGTGGTCATCTTACGGCATGTAAATTTCGTCGAAAAAGGTAATATCACCTATTTTTACCACAAAAATCCTGACTTTGGCGATTATGAATCCAAACCCTGATAATTGATAAATACTTGTATTAAGAAAGATGAGAGTTATATTTATAAATTTTTTATTTATAAATTTTTATAAATTACATTATATATTACTTGAGCATATATAATTATATATATTATCTGTAATATAGAGTATAATTTGCAAATAAATTTTTTCTATAAATATAACCTATCCCATTAAGAAATTATTTATATTAATTATGTTCCAACAGTTCGTGACATGGAATGAAGTAGAATGACAATTTTTATGATAGACCCTTATCTATGCAAGCAAGTGGCTAGGTAATCCTCACAATGATTGGCTCTGTGCTGCATCATTGAAGTGGTCTTATTGGACCTGACGTATGCATAACAATATCCATAAAGAAAAACTAGTCAATGTTCAAGCATGCAATTTTATAGGCCTGTATGTTCTTGAGGCAATATGTCTAAATGAAAAACATTGAAATAAAAATGTATGGAAATATTCAGGTAAAATATTTTTCATGGACGGCCGAGTAGGATCAACATGGCAGTCAAATTCTTCCTACCAAGTTATTGAAAACTTGAATTTGAGGATCATTAATTAAGTTAAAATAATTATTTACCAGTTGATTCACGTAGCTGATAAAATATTTTTAAGAAATAAATAACTATTTAGTAATATATATATATATATATATATATATATATATATTGAAAACATATTTAGTAATATATTGATATCTAGGATTGCGCCCATTTCGAGAGCGGGCTTACAAATATGCCTGGAAAGCTCTTCATTAGCTAGCAGTGCTAAGCAGAAATGATAAATAACTAGTTCTCCACTTAATAATAATAATAATAATAATAATAATAATAACAATAATACTAATAATAAAGATTTATCGTTTCTCAAGTCACTTAAGATCATCTTATATCTGGGTACCCTAAAATTACGCCGGGTGTTAGGAGCATTAATAAAGAATATTTTGGTAAAATTCATATAATAAATAAACAAATAAAAATATCAAAACACCCTTATTTAATTCTCCTAACACTTTAAAACATTCTTTATTAATTCACCTAACACTCAAAATGACGTAATTTTAGGATAATTGGAATAAAAAAAAATTTGGAAAAATTTGCCGGAAATAAAATTATCTAGTAAATTGAAAAATATCTTTCTCTAATAATAATAACAGCATTCCATCTCATGCTTATCATCAATGTTCACAACAACTAGTGTGCTGACGCAAGTCCAGCACCCTATTATTCTTATCCACAACATACCACACAAGTGTAGTTGCAACTTATACTAGCTGGAAATGTTAGGTTTAATCAATAATTATTAGTTCAGGTAATAAGTACTTTGTTCTTTTTAATTAAATGTTTGAGTTTGAATTTTAGGAATAAGGAAAATGGTCTTGCGAGAGTCAGGATTCAACAATACTTTAACCGAATTAATCGGATAATTCATGATAAGGAAATTTATCGAAAAAAAAATTAATACTATGCTTATACGCGAGAAAATAAAAAAAAATGGTTTCGACCCCATATTGATTTTGTACACAAGAAGACAACCAATGAGAGTAGCCAAGCAGAAGAGCCCATTCTTGAAGCTACAAAATCATTTGTCAAAGCCATCTTTTGACGTTGCATGAGGAAAAAAAATTCGGCACAGCCAGGGGAATATTGTTGAATCTCACCAAAGGATTGAATGATTAACTGAAAATATTGCTGCATTGAATTAATTTGGTAATTTTCCAAATAAAATCGAACCATAATTCGTGCAATCTGCAATTTCATAAAATAAAATTAATCAATTATCATATCTATACTAAATATACTAAGAAAGATAGAGTAAAAAAAATCCATTTCACTAAATAATTGTGGTGTTCAATAAAAAAAAAATTACCCGGGAATTATAATTTCCAAGAATATAGTAGGAAATTTATTTTCCCTAGAATGTTTCTAAAAAGTTGTTTGTAGGGCAAATTTTTTCTATGTTTGGTTTATTGTAATATTGCTGGGAATCTGGACCGAAATTATAAAATTACCCTAGATTTTGAATATTGAACTTTTTTTCCAACATTCATTTTACCTGAGCTCTCTCTCTCTCTCTCTCTCACGTGGTTAGTTTTTTTGTTGTCTTCATTCCTCCCAACGACAGTCTACAGAATAGTTCATGCAGCTAGCCATTTCTACAGGTTTCCCTAGGTTCAAATTCTTTCATTTCGACCATTTCTATATTGT